GTTACAGTTTTTAGAAGGTTCAAAAGCTTGATCTGATTGAAGGCTGTGAATCGTCATAAATATGAACCAGCTGCCAAGCATCCAAATTTTGATCACTTGATCGTGGGGATGCTGCAAAAGTTGTAAGGGTAAAAAATGGTCTGGAGTCATTTGAACCGTCATTAAATGAATGATTGTAAATCAAGGACCGTTTTGTTTTAATTCATATATTTTTTAATATTTTCTAGCTTTTTATCACTTTTATAGACTCCGATGTATCTTTTCTGCTTTTTAATTGAGTATATCCCACCTTCCTTACCCTGGTCTATGACCATAATCTAGACTTGATGTCATTTGATTCAATTCTATGCTGTGTACATTGTCCAGAATAATAGGGGTCGTGTAAAATGCTGCTTTTTTTCTCTCTCTCTCTTTTTCCTATTGTGGTCTTTGCTGATCCCTGGAAATCAGCTGTTCCTGTTATGAATGATAAGCATGTTGACTTGTAGCTGGACTATCCCAAGAGGAAGTGGAACCAGAAACTTATGAAATATGCTAGTATTTAGAGATACTTGACTGACTAAAGGAAGCTCTTGATTAACCTAGATACAAATCATTGTCAGAAGCTGGTATATGTGAAGGGAAACTGGGTTTTTCTTTTGTTTCATGTCCTGAGAATTCTTTTCACAGGTCCAAATTGACCAAGGAGATGGGCTCTATCCTGATACTGCTTGGCTAGGTGTATCACCTGAAACCCTGGTTTCACTTAAGCCAGGAGTGTCAAACTGCCGGCCCGCGGACCAGATGCGTCATGCCGAAACCGCATCCACCGCATTGCCGGCAATGGAAAAAAAAGTGGCGATACATCGCGACACGTCACGTGACGTTGCGAGTTTGACACCCCTGACTTAAGCCATCCTTGGCTGGGAACATATAACATTCTAAGCCAAAGGCAAGCATCACATTATGGCTTAACACAAGCTAACCAGCTGTGTCACTGAGCCGTGAAGCAGATTGTAGGAACAGGTGTCTAGTTAGCAATCGGCCCAAAGCTGGAATATAAAAAACCTAGCCGGTTGCTGTGGAACCTCCATAATGTAAATTGTAGTTGTGTCTTTGTATCGGGCTGGTTGAAATGAGATGGTCCCTATTGTGCCCTCTTAATGAGATTCTTCTGGAGAATTTTCTGGCCACCACGCATGACGCTGTAATGAGCTTGATAATCAGTTAATCTTGCAGTACAGTAATATATATCCCTGATGCTATGCCTTGTCCTTAGCATCCGTGTTTATACAAACCTGCATGGGTGTAGAGCAGGGGTCTTCAAACTTGGCCCTTTGTTGTGGACTTCAACTCCCAGAATTCCTCAGCCAGGCACAAGTCATCAAAGGACCAAGTTTGAAGACCCTTGCACTAGATCAAACTAGCTCTATATAGTAAATCATAAATATCCACAGGTCTATGGCTTTCTCTGGACTGGAGCGTATAAGGAAGTAGGGAGACGGGAGGAAAAATCTCCTCTAATCTACTGACCGATGGCACTTTTCCTGAATCAGCTGCTGCCAATAACTCTAGGTTTTCAATTTCTCAAAAGCCTCAGGACAATACCAAGAAAACCCATCCTTTACTTTTTCTCCTTGATATGGAGAAAAAGATCACTTTTGTGGACAATATTTTGACCTGACTCATGTACTGTGCCAAGTCATAACGTAGCTGGTTCGGTTTCGGTTTGAGGTTGTGTGAAATGCTAGCGATTCTGGTTATGAAAACATGACTTTATAACCTAGAGCAGGGGTAGGCAACCTCGGCTCTTTTATGACTCATGGACTTCACCTCCCAGCATAGCTGACTCAGGAATTCTGGGAATTGAAGTCCATGAGTCATAAAAGAGCCGAGGCTGCCTACCCCTGACCTAGAGCATTTAGTTGCCTTCGAACATTTATTTCCAGCCACAGGTTTTAGCAAAATCCATTTAAAATTACTGCACTCCCATCTGGTCCATACATCCGCTCGAATATTAGCAGCACTGATTGTCAAGATGTGCTTTTGGGTATCTTCCTTGCAGCCGTTGTAAACAATGCAACTTCGCTTATAACCTGGTATCTGATCATGACGATAATTAAACGATCCGTGGCTTCATACAGTCTGCAAACGGATTCATTGGCGCCTGTTGGAAATGGAGAACAAAAGGGAATGAGAGAGTTGGATTATATTGTCTGTGTTGCTGCAATTCAGATTTTTCCTGTGGGCAAGGTATGGAGGTCACACTTCAGGAAGTCCTGACAGGGTATCACCATAAGAGCTCAAAAACCAGGAAGTGAGTGAGTAAGTGACTGAGTAAGTGTGAGAGTGAGTGAGTGAGAGAGAGAGAGAGTGCCAGGAAAAACAGTGATGCTATGGACACATGTCAGCGTCTAATAAAACCCGAGATGTTTTAAAGGGGAAAAGTGCATTTAAATGGGATAAGATCATCTCAGGAAAAGAACGCAAGGAGAAGCATGCTAAGGATCCAGCTTAAGTTACACGTCTAACATTAACAAAGCTGTCTTGGGAGTATGTGGCGCACGACGATGGCAGATGTGCGTTGCTCATGCTGCCCCGTTCACTCTAAAACCGAGGTAGACTTCTTTCTTTTGCTACACAGGAACACACAGAAGATGGACACCGCTCTGGCCTGTCGCAAACATCTAGGGGTTTAGCCTCTCCTCCTCATCCAGTAATGGGGGTGCAATGGCTCAGCGGTTAAAGACACTGAGCTTGTCAGTTGGAAAGCTGACAGCCCAAGCTTGAGACCCGACTGCAACATGACAGGGTGAGCTCCCGCACATTGTCTCAGCTCCTGCCCAGCTAGCAATTCAAAAGCATGCAACTGCGAGTAGATTAATAGGTTTCCACTCCGGTGGGAAGATAACAGTTCCATGTGCCTTTGGCTGATTGTACAAACAAACATAATCTATTACACTTGTATGCCGCCCGATTCTCAATGGTTCTGGGCAGCTCACAACAGTAAAAAAAAATGCAATCAAATCAATAAATGATAAAGATAGAAGATAGCAAGCATGATGAAGACGAAGGTCTCCTTTCTCTCACCAAGGCCTGAGTGAAGAGCCAGATTTTCACGTTCTTCTAAGGTCATCTGGATCTTGTCAAGGAATCTTGTTCCAGGGGGCAGGTGCTGCTATGGAGAAGGTATACTTTAAAGGGTCTTGAATGCGCTCATCACCAAATGTACTTTTCCATCCCGCGTTTATGATGGTTGACTCATGATCCAAAGACTGAATGACTTTGAATCTTGTCCATTGCTGCTTGTCCCATCACGTTGCGCTTGCCTTCAACGCAGGCAGGTAGATCGTGTCTCGTGAATCAGCGTGGTAGTTGTGAGAGATGTTTCAGTCATGCAAAAGATTAGGTGTGTCAGAGAAAGAGTCAAAGAATAGATGAACTTTTTGTGAACTACAGTTTAGATTTTGTAGCCCGAGATACCTGGGATGATCTTTGATAATTGTTGGTGTTTTGTCTGGCTGCCATGACACAGTTGGAACATTACACTGAAAGAACTTTTGTGTGAGTGTGGAAAGGGGGATAGATTCTAGTTTAGAGAAGAAAAATACACAGCTTGCATGGCACACATGGGCCTCGTTTGAATTTTTGGACTCTCCAAAGTGACAATATTAGGATTCTGTCAAGAATGAATCCGAAATTTGCTACCAATCAGAGGAACATTTGGTTCGATCATGTTTTACTGCTTAGTATCCTTTTGATGTGTTTTGCACCACAGTTCTGGGAGTCGTCTCATAGCTGGAAGGCCACCAGGATTGAGATAGATGGATAAATTATTTTCCAAGAATTTATTTTGTTTATTTTTCTACTTTTTGGTATAGCAATCTGACCCCTCCCTCCCTCCTTCCTTCCTTCTTTCCTTCTTCCCTTCCTTCCCTCCCTCCCTCCCACCTTTCCTTCCTTCCTTCTTCCCTTCCTCCCTTCTTTCTCTCTCTCCTTCCTTCCTTCCTTCCTTCCTTCCTACTTTCCCTTTTCCACCCCTTCCTTCTTTCCTTCCCTCCGTCTTCCATTTATTCCTTCCTTCCTTCCCTCCCACCTTCCCTTCCTTCCTTCCTTCCTTCCTTTCTCTTTTTCTTTTTATTTCTTCCTCTCTCCCTC